AATTACTTTGTGTAATCCAAAAGTTTTTAAACTTTTTTTTAAATATGAAATTTATTTTACTAGCTTTTGCCCGCGGCTTTGCACGCGTGGTGTCGTATTTATAATTTAAAAAATGAATGAAATTTTTTTATTATTTTTGGTAATTGTTATTAATTTTTCTTAATTTTTATTAATTATTATTAATTTTTAGTTTTATTAATTAATTTTATTAATTTTTATTAATTTTTATTAATTTTTATTAATTTTTATTAATTTTTATTAATTTTTATTAATTTTTATTAATTTTTATTAATTTTTATTAATTTTTATTAATTTTTATTAATTTTTATTAATTTTTATTAATTTTTATTAATTTTTATTAATTTTTATTAATTTTTATTAATTTTTATTAATTTTTATTAATTTTTATTAATTTTTATTAATTTTTATTAATTTTTATTAATTTTTATTAATTTTTATTAATTTTTATTAATTTTTATTAATTTTATTAATTTTTATTAATTTTTATTAATTTTAATAATTTTTATTAATTTTTATTAATTTTTATTAATTTTTATTAATTTTTATTAATTTTTATTAATTTTTATTAATGTTTATTAATTTTTATTAATTTTTATTAATTTTATTAATTTTTATTAATTTTTATTAATTTTTATTAATTTTTATTAATTTTTATTAATTTTTATTAATTTTTATTAATTTTTATTAATTTTTATTAATTTTTATTAATTTTTATTAATTTTTTATTAATTTTTATTAATTTTTATTAATTTTTATTAATTTTTATTAATTTTTATTAATTTTATTAATTTTTATTAATTTTTATTAATTTTTATTAATTTTTATTAATTTTTATTAATTTTTATTAATTTTTATTAATTTTTATTAATTTTTATTAATTTTTATTAATTTTTATTAATTTTTATTAATTTTATTAATTTTTATTAATTTTTATTAATTTTTATTAATTTTTATTAATTTTTATTAATTTTTATTAATTTTTATTAATTTTTATTAATTTTATTAATTTTATTAATTTTTATTAATTTTTATTAATTTTTATTAATTTTTATTAATTTTTATTAATTTTTATGAATGTTTATTAATTTTTATTAAGTTTTATTAATTTTTAATAATTTTTAATAATTTTTTATTAATTGTTATTAATTTTTTTATTATTTTTATTTATTTTTATTTTATTTTCCTTCCTTCTTAAAATGTGAAAATCAATAACCTTGAAATATGTCATTATTTACTTGATGATTAACTACAATCCCAATTTTCAAATTTCTACAATTAAAAAATCGAAAGTCTCATTCAAACTTTTATCTTCCGTTTGCTCCCTTAATATGTAAAATCCAAATACTTTGAAACATGTCTATTTATTTATGAAGAATACCTACAATTCTAATTTTCAAGTTCGTACCATACAAAGTTTCACATCCCACACATTTCCCCCATTTTTCCAATTTTGCCTATTTGCATTCTTTCCCTCATTTCCCCTCTCACCCCCATTTTCCCTATTTTCTTCTTAAAATATTAAAATCCAAAAACCTGAAACACGTCGTTATTTATTTGTGATGAGTAGTTATAATTCCAATATTCATTTCCTACCTATAAAAAAATCGATGCTTCTATGCAAAATTTTAACCCCCGTTTCCCCCCTTTAAAATGTGAAAAATCAAAAACCCTGAAACACGTCATTATTTTTTATGCTCAGTAGCAGTATTTCAAATTTTCATGTTTCACTACCTATGCAAAAAATTATGTCCGATCACTTGCTCTGTGAAAAACAAAAACAAATCGATCCCAGCGGAACCGTACATTTTTTCGGGATAAAAAGTAGCCTATGTGCTATTCCAGGCTATAGTCTATATTTGTGCTAAATTTCATCCAGATTCGTTCGGCCGTATGTGTGATTGAGCAACAAACATACATCCATCCATCCATCCATCCATCCATACATTCATCCAAACTTTCACATTTATATATATGATATGATATATTTATATGATTATTTTTTTCGAATAACTTTTAACCAATTAGAACGTTCAATTTAGTTAAGTTACCTCGTATAATTTCGATAATACCTGATTATACATAGAGTAGCTCCACCAATCAAAAATATTTACAATAATTTCATTTCCGTAGTAACCACATCGACAACAATACACTAACTAACAGGACCGTCAAATTTTGACGTTTATCAATAATTATTTTAAAATGAGTCGATTCGGAGATGTATCATTAAATGCTATAGACGAAAGTATACAAAATACTGAGCCTCATAATACAGTGAAAACAAAAAAGTACGTATAGAAACAATTTCTTACGTTTTGTAGTGAAAGAAACTATGTACTAAATGAATCAATTTCCACTGAAATGATAGCATCCATTTTGAAAGATTGGGCTTTTAATATGCGAAAAGGTAATGGAGAAAATTATAAAGAAAATGTGGTAAAAACGATGTGGAACGTTACGGCAAAACAAGTACAAGAAAAATATATGAAGGAGTTTAATAGAGTAATTGATCCATTCTCTAGTCCCATATTTTTAGCCGCACGAAACGCAAGAAATTCAAAAAGAAGGGAACTTCAAATGTTACCGGACAAAAGAAAGATTAGTGCATCAGCATTTAAAGATACCGAGTACATAGCAATGATAGAAGCATGGGATAAAAATACACCGGAAGGATTACAAATAAAATTTTTCTTAATTGCTTCTGTAGAAGCGAAAACATCAATATTAAAACAGATAGGTTATTTCTGACAGTAAATCCTAACTGTGTTACGTTGTAATCGTCACTCCCTTTTAATAATTACAATATTTAATTAGTTCAAATATTCCAATATATTCTAATACTTTTTGAGCGCCCCTTGTATTTGGAATTATAGATATTATGTTGAAACGGGAATTTGTCTCTCTCTGGGACATTCTACCAATGATGCGCTTTCTCTAAAAATCAATAATTACGGTCAGATGTCGATACGGTTTTTTTTTGTTGTAACTGACACGTTTTTTTTTTCTTAAAAATAAGGAACTGGCTCTGGATCTGTAACAAACTAAGGATCTGGATCTGTAACAAACTAAGGAATTGTCCTTTGTAATCTGGAACTGCAGAATCATTGTCAGCTAGTTGCCACTAGAGCTGCGGAATATCTTGGGCTGAGTTGCGTAAGGAACTGAAGTGTTTTGAAGTCATCGTAGGCTCACCTACCATTAAGAAAAGGAACTGCAGTGTTTTGAAGTCATCGTAGGCTCACCGCTCACCTACCATTAAGACACGGACCAGACCAGTTCGACCGTTGAAATCCGGAAACACAAGATAAGTGTCGGCCAGGACCACACACACACAATTTTGAGTCACTAGTCAATTTTAATTTTAAACTCATCATTAGTAAAACGTAAACCGTAAAATGTGTTAAAATCAATTAATTTTATTTTCTTTTATATTATGTAATCAGTCATCAGTCAAATTCGAAATTTAAATTAAAGCCGATTAATTGTTTTGAAATTTTAGTTTTTTTTTTTTACTTTCAACTGACAAGGTAATGACAAATTTACTTTTATTGTCCATCTAAAGGTATGGCGCCCAAATTAATTTAATTGAATTCTTTTAAGTCTTTTTAATTAAAGACCTTGTCATTGACTTGAAGGTAAATTCTAAACGAATCCCACTGACCTATTTTGATCTGAGCTAGGCATGAGGCTTGTGAGAATTCTTATTATAAGGATTTTTACAATGAGACCCAGGTAAGGGTTAGAAACGTATCATCTGGTGCAAAATATGTTTTTATAAAAGGTTTATACCAAAACGAAACAACTGGAGAAAACAAAAAACCCTTGGCTGGTACAAAAATATGCCAACTGGAGTGCATGAAATTAGTAAATGGACCAAAAAGTCTGCAAAATTGGCAAATTTAAATATGACAAACAAAACATTTTCAAATCATTCTCACCGAGCCACTGCTGTTTCACAATTGGCAAAAGCAGGTGTATCGGAACAAGAACTTATTAAAATAACAGGACATGGTAATAGCAATTCTATCAAACCCTACCTACAGTTAGATGAACAACATCACCAAAACATAATAAATAAGATGAGATCCAATTTTAAAAACGCTACAGGTTCAAGTAATAACACCTTCAGTATTTCCAGCACTTCAATGAGCAGTGGCCACATTTCCAGCGCAGAGAATAACTCGGTTAAAAAAAACGAAGTATATATTAATTGTAATTTTCATTGTACCAATATGTATTTAAATTAATAAATTGTTGATATTTACTTAATTTACTCAAAAAATAATCGTATCAAATACAATACGTACTTCAAAATAAATACGGTTATACATCTCAAACTTCCTGCATAATTACAAATCGCGTCAGTTTGACAGAATAATCCTCCCGCTTCGCGGTCGGATTATTTAAACTGTCAAACTGACACTCTTTATAATTATGCAACAAGTTATCGATGTATAACCTGATTATTTTGAAGTACTTATAGTATTACTACTGATTATATGATATGATTATTGAATATACAAATTTTGAGATAAAATTTAAACCCCTGTCAAAATCTGCCTGAGATCGGATCTGTTTTTTGACCGATCACAGCATAGCGACGGCTGGCAGCGACGCGCTTCATAACACTTCACACTGCATTTTCAGTGTACCTTGCACTATAGAAAAATTGTTAGATAATTTAGTAGATCTACGTCGAATCCCATCCAAGATATGAGGTGACCAAACCGAGACGGCAAATTCTAGATGAAATCTAACATAAGGTATAGTCGAATTTGCTTTACTAATAACTTTCGCAGCCTAAATTTAATTAAACTAAAACACCAAGGTCAAAAACTTCTGGCGAATACAAAAATGCAACCAAATAAACTTTAAAACATGTTTCCCAAAAAAAGCTTTTGTAACATAGCGACTTCACCTTCAAAGTCCATTAAATATTAGAGTAAATCAATTTTGATAGAAAAATAAATTTAATATACCTTTTCCCTATCGCTCAATTTCAAGAACCGTTGCTTCTCATCTTCATCCTTCTTTTTAATTTCATTTTCTTTTTTCTTCTCCTTCTCTTTCTCTCTCTTGATTTTCCGAACTGCTTTTTTCTTATCAGCTACTTCTTCGTTTGTAAGAGCGTTGATAGGAATTTGTGCCTAAAATTGATGATTGACATTTAAAGATTTATTGAAAAACTTTACGAAGTGTACTTACCTTATTATAATTAAATTTGTCAGGGTTATCTCTAGCGAATTGTCTTAAAAACTCTCTAACTTCTTTGCTTTGAGTACATGTATAGACAGTTTGCTGATTTTTATTTTTTAAACAGGGGTTTGCGTTATTTTCTAACAAAAACGTAATTACATTCGTTTGTTCTTTTAAAGCTGCTACATGTAGTAATGTGTTAGATTCATCATCTACTATTTTATTAATAAACTCATCACTAGTTTTTTCAGTTTCTTCTTCTGTTAATTTTAAATGATCGTCTAATAATATTGTTAATTTTTTTATATCACCGTTAGTAATTATTTCTATTAGTTCCTTCTTCTTAGCATCTTCTTGTTCCTTTAATTTCTTTGTTTTACTTTTTTTAGGTTTTTTCTTTTTTGGTATTTTTTTCCTTTGTTCTGGTGTTAAACTATCATCGAACTCGCGTAAGTCATTAAGTGGAATTTCTAACTCACTTGTGGACAAAACTACATTTTCATTTATATCATCGTTTTCATCGACTTCTAGTTCTAAATCACTATCATTAAGATGTTCAGTTGGAAGGGGCCTTTCTGCTATTTCTCTAGATTTCGCTCGATTTATACAAGATGCTCGAACTTTATTTCTTTTAGATTCCGTGTCAGGGGATAATTGTTTGGAAAATTTAGCCGTTGCTGCTTCCAAGCAATCTGTAATTAAAATATTTATCTTTAAAATATATAAATAGCCAAAAAGTATCTTTAAGTATTTAAAATCCTTATAAACATAGAAACTAAACCTCGAAGAAAAAGTAGAGTTAGGCGATACCGTGATTTTTAATCGTCACTATTTTCTCAAGCGGATCAAATGATGCATATTATGCTATTGATCATCCTGTATAAAACAATCTGCTACAATATTAGCATATAGTAACATATCTTTCGACTTTTGACACGGGAAACCATTTCTTTGCGGAAGAGATGAAAATGGTGAAATACTCATCAGGGAGTTGTTCCAGATACAAAATTCACCTGGAACTTCCAACTGAACAAAACTATTATCAAAGCCAGAGTATCCCTCGTCTCTCAGTAGGATATGCGGCCAACATGGGGCATCAGTCTCAAATTGATCTACCGTGGTAAAACCAACGGTTGCGTACGGATCGATTATCTGTTGGGCAAGGGAAAGCTGGGAATTCAAAGAAGCTTGCGTGCGTCAACCTCATGGATGCAATGTATATCACCTCGACGGGTGCTGGAGAGGTATGTCAGGATAGTTTCCTATAGAGACAGAGTACTCTGTGCTACAGACTTCTGACGGCGGATAGTCAATGTAAGGAAGAATTACTATGAAACTAAATGGGACTGTTGATTGAAAATTAATAACCACCTCATTCTTGGTATAGTCTCAGACTCGTTAGTGTTCCGAAAGCACATAGAAAGTCAGATAGCGTTCTCATTCCAAAGAGAGACACACGAATAGAGCAAGGGTAAAATTCCTCTCTCCCCGATGGACTATACATTGTTCACGGACGGTTCCAAACCTGAAAAATGAGTAGAAGCAGGAGTATTTTGCAGGAGAAATAAATCTCTAGAATGGAAGCGCTACCAGCGTGGAGGTACCTCATAAGAGTACGAAAACTATTTCCTCTAAAAAAAGTACTTCCGATATAAGTATTCAGAGAAAGAGACTAGAAATAGAAAAAGAAATAAAGAAACAAGAATTAGAATCGAAAAAACGGGAAATTTAACATAATTTAAAAATTTTGAAACTGGCGCATGACTTAAAATAGTTGGAGAGCTAGTAACACAAATTTCATTAAGTGTTTGATGCACTTTGAAATTTTGTAATTTGAAATCATTTGGATGGAAAAACAGATATACCTGTGTTGGCTAAATCCACCCCGGGACACCAGGTACTGCGCATAATAGTACTGTTTGATTCAGAGCCCAACAAACAACAATTGAAAGTTTAGGTAATTCTAAAAATACTAGTATTTAGGCAGACACTTTTGAGAGGGTTTATTATTAATAAATCAACCCCAAAGTTGATTTTTTTAAATATGATTTGAAGTGTTTGATTGACGCTGAAATTTAAATAGCGTCTTAATTAAATATAAAAAAAAATTAATTCCAAAAAGGCAGACACTTTTTTTGAGGTTTAATTGCCGGCCAACATAAAAATAAGTCTTATTTACTATAGAAAGAGATAGGCTGCATATGGCTCTAGGTGTGAGTGGGAGCGCTGATCACCGCCGCTACTATACTCTTTCTACAGCTGTATGGGCCGTTCATCTCAATAGAGGACTTCTATACAAGGGAAGTGCAACCAACTTGACAAAATAAAATTGACACTAATGACATAAGAAATCGGGTCACATAAAGAGGCTGAGATACATATGCTAAGAGTCCTTAATTAGACACCTTGTACTTATTGAAAAAAATATATTTCCTGGTAGCTTGCATTTTTAAAATTAACTGAACTTGAATGAACCTCGTTATGCTCCACTATGCATTGAATAAGTATATACTTTTTAAAAACTAAACATTTTAAATTACCAAGACTGAAATAATAAAACAATAATATTTTTTCTTTTTTTTTTAAGAAAGACCCTGTATAATCATGTACTTTTAGCTAGAATTTTTTTTGTCTAATCTTTAAAATGCTTTACAATAAATAATTACCGTAGATTGTTGAAGAAGAAAGCAGCTGATGTACCCTTTTCACTTCAGCAAAAGTGGCTCTTCTTGTCGAAAATGGAATAGTTCTTAATTTGCTACTACTTCTATCCAACAGTGGAGTAGTACCTCCAAAAAGCACAGACCTATTATAAGGACCTGAAGCTCTGTATATTATTAAAGAACTTCTATCGATTTCCGTTTTCCATGTTTCAACAATTGATTTTACATGCTAAAAAATAAATAAATAAATAAATAAATAAATAAATAAATAAATAAATAAATAAATAAATAAATAAATAAATAAATAAATAAATAAATAAATAAATAAATAAATAAATAAATAAATAAATAAATAAATAAATAAATAAATAAATAAATAAATAAATAAATAAATAAATAAATAAATAAATAAATAAATAAATAAATAAATAAATAAATAAATAAATAAATAAATAAATAAATAAATAAATAAATATATAAATAATATATATAGTTGTTATAAAAAAAAAATAAATAGTAAATAAATAAAGAAGATGATTATTTCAGCTTTTCATAACGAAAGTTTGTTGCAAGTTTTATGCTACTTCTATGCAATGTTGCTGCTGTTTATTTTGCAAGAGGATAACTAGCCAATATTCGCAACAAACTTGCGCCGTGAACAGCTGCTTTTCAATTTATGCAAGTTTGCTGTAGGAAATTGATATTAACTGCGCATGCCTATGTTTCATAAAAAAACTCTATTCTGGTTCTTCGGAAATATGTTCAAAAACTGTCCAAGTACTAGATGATCAGTGAAAAGTTGACGCTTAATATGAAATTCAACTGTTCCACTGGATCTTGGACGGTTTGCAGTAAATTTTGAAGAAACCAAAAACAAGTCTAAAAGTTTCATGCTTAGACTAGAATAGAAAAGGAATGAGTATTTTAAGCGACCGACGCAGAGAGTTACATGTGTCTTTTTTTCCACCGGTTTGTTGCAATCGTTGTTTCGCCGATGCAGCCTTGAACGTCTTGTGTTGGATTCGATTTATTTATGGTTGACCGTTGAAAGAAATAACAGTTGACATTTTGGATTAAAATTTTTGTTTATAATTTTATTTTAATGTACCTATACAGGGTGTTTCCGAACTTGGCGTCCAAATTTGTAGGGGTGGTAGTTCGCATAATTTGAGACCGATTCACAGATTTAATTTTTCCAAAATATTTAAAATAAAAATAATTAAAAATTTTAAACAGGTACGGTCTTGCACAGCGATGAGACGACTCGACTCGCGCGCGCTACGATCGCACTAGAAAAACAATCGGCTACGTCTTTCGATACCGGCCGGGCGGAGGGAGAAATTTGCAAATCGCATCTGTTTTTCAGTTGTAAATCCCGATTAGTAACCGATCAGGCGACTATTGCGCTACGCGTTCAGGGTAGGACCCGCTTTTTGATTTTTTTTATAATGGCTCTATTTTGTTTAATATAATTTTTTTAGAAAAATGAAATATGCCAATCGCTCTCAAATTATGCGAACTATCACCCCTACAAATCTGGACGCCAAGTTCGGAAACACCCTGGACGTATACATTTTTAAAAGCTCATTTTTTTCGATTTTTTTCACAAAAAACAATTAATTAACTCCTTAATACTAAATAATTCCCGCAATTCACACCTGTCAGTTGTCATATCTAATCGGAAGAACCATACATTGAACTGATGGAATGGTGTTGCATCGATTGCATCAACGTTGGATAAAAAGAGCGCTGTTGCGATCGATTATCCACCCGTGCCAATTTTTTGGTGCCACAGAAATGTGTAATTTGAGTTTTTTTCGGAAAAGTTTATTATTAAGTAGGTAAATGTAAAAAAGGAAGAAGGATTTATTACATTCCATAGCTAAAATATATTAGAAGAGGATCGGAATGCATTTTTAATAAATCATTCTATAAATATTTAATGATCGTTCTTGCAACCGGGTGTTAAAGTTTAAAATGTATTACAGTTTATTTATAATTCAATTAATGATTAGTTTTTAAATCATTATAATGTTGAATAAACGATATTATTATTTTTTGGTTATCGAGGTAAAGAAATAAGTAGAAACTATATGAATTAAACTTGTATTTAAACTCGTTATCAAATTATCAATAAATAGCAAAAGATCATGCCCATCAAGCTCCGAAAAAGAATCTGATGCCAAGCGGTCTCATATTGGAGTTTGGAGTTAACCATCTTCATTTCTAGTCTAAGATTTCATGCCATAAAATAAATAGAACATATTTTTGTATGTATATGTTGGGGCGATTTTCGGGATATCAATTTCAGAAAAAGTTACTGTAACCTGACAAACCGGGTCCTAACTTAGTTTTACAAATATTTAAAACCTTGGCCTAAAATACGTCTAGCAGATATCCATGAAGTGATTTTTGTAGGACCCCAAAATTTCGCTTAGAGTTCAATGTAACTGTAATGGAGGAACAAAGAAAGTAAACACAAAAATAGATTAAGAATAGTTTTACTTAAACTTATTTCTTATAGCGGGAAGTTGACAATAATGTTGGTTTATTTTAACATAACACATGTGTGGCCTTTTCCATGTCTCATTTCTAACCGAAGGGATATTAAGCTCCCATAAACCGATGAAAGTATGATGACAGTACTACAGCATATTTGTTATCCCTTTATAATGCACAATCATACACACTGCTAATATAACACCTGCATACGTATTGTCTGATATAGTGAAGTTCAGCGGTATCACGAAGAGTATGGCGCGATATGAATATGAATATAATTATGTAAATAAGAAGTTTAACCTCATCTTGCGTAACACCTTTCCACTGATATCTCAATACCGTATTTTACGATTGTGTTCAGTACTGCATATATAACAATAACTTGTACGACAACAGAACACCTGATATAAAGGGGGATGCCCGTTAGACCCACTTTTGGGATATTTTTTCTTAAGATCCATCCTAGCCTCTATCAGGCTTTTATGTCCATAGACGTGAGAAAAATGTACCATTTTTAGGCCCTATTATTGAGGTTCAGCACGTACTATGGTAGGCTGACGGCTCTTTTTCGGCGCAAGGCTCTTTTGCTCTAATTACCGACAAATCAATGCTATAAATGACAGCTCCGAAACCACAAGCTGTAATCCCACCACAATATCACCTCATTTTTCTAAAAGGATAACAATTATACCGGAGTTCTATAACCTATGTGATAAAGTGATGCCCAGATGAACCTAATATGTCCGTTTACCTAAACATAATACCTAAAATTATATTGTTACCCGCCTCTGTACATATTCAATCTTAAAAAGAACCCAAAAAAAGTTAATTCTCAACGTTTAGAAATAAGACATGACTTTGCCCATTTTTGAATCATACAGAATGAAAGAAAATATTATTACCATCTAAATCAGTGCTCCGCAACCGGTGTGCCGCGGCACACTGGTGTGCCGTAAGCCGACTTGAGGTGTGCCGCTCTTGCAGACAATACGAATCAGATTCGTATTGTAGCGAGACCCGCGAAAAATAAAGCAATCTGACAACAGCGCCGATGGTAAACGTCTATCCGTCTATCGGCGCGGCGCGGCGGCTTGATTCTCGAAGGCGACTAAACTAGAAAGATCCGTGCCGTTCGAGGCGCGACTCGATGTTTTCCTGAACATCGCCACTGCCTATATAAGCGCGCCTGTCGTCGCTCAGAGACTCAGAGAGAGTCGAATAGTCAAGTGAATCAGATAAATACGCGGGCAAACAAATAAATCGTAGAGTGAAATAAATAGTGAATTGCTATATAAATAAATTCTTGTGCCTTATAAATAAGTGAACTGGACTAAGTTTTGTTGCAGTATCTACTTTTATAAATAACTATAGTGCTTCAAATATGGATAAATTTTTGCTGAAATCACGAGCAGATGACGAAGAACCTAGCACAAGCTCCAGCATAAGTGCTGCAAAAAGAGCAAAAAAGGTGCTGAAAAGGAAGTACAATCAAGACTACCTTCGATATGGTTTCACTTGGTGTGGCGACGAAGCGGCTCCAAAGCCTGAATGCGTCATTTGCGGTGAACAGTTGTCAAATGAAGCAATGGTACCCAGCAAACTAAACCGTCATTTGATCACAAATCATCCCAGTTGCGTCAAAAAAGACATTCAATTTTTCCAACGGCGCTTGGATCAAAATAAGAAACAAAAGCAGTTTATGAAATCGGCGGTTACGGTTTCTGAAAAGGCATTAGAAGCAAGCTACCTTGTTGCAAAATTAATTGCACAACAAAAAAAAACCGCACACTATCGGTGAAACGCTTATTAAACCAGCATGCATGGAAATTGTTAGACTTATGCTTGGGCCAAACGAAGTTAAGGACGTGAGTAAAGTTTCTTTGTCGGCCGATACTGTTAAAAGACGTATCCAAGATATGTCAAGTGATATTTTGGGAACACTAATTAAAAAAATCATTTCGGCTGGAATTTTTGCGCTTCAAATCGACGAATCAACCGATATTAAAAATAAAGCACAACTGATGGCTATTGTACGTTTCGTTGACGAGGACTCTATTAAAGAACATTATTTATTTTGTAAGGAGGTTCCAGAGAGAACTACCGGTGAACAAATTTTCCAAGTAACTGATAATTTTTTTAAAATACATAATATTCAGTGGACCAATTGCGTTGCTATTTGTACAGATGGTGCTGCTGCAATGATGGGCAGTAAGAAAGGTTTTGTATCTTGTGTAAAACAAAAAAATCCGTCAATACAAATTACACATTGCTGCATACATCGAGAAGCATTGATGGTCAAAAATTTGCCCGAACAGCTTTCGATCACAATGAATGAATGTATTAAGATCAAAAACATAATTAAATCGAGAGCCTTAAATTCGCGAATCTTTGGAATACTCTGTGAAGAAATGGGAAGCGAACATGAATCCTTACTGTTTTATACAGAAGTTCGTTGGTTATCCCGGGGAAAAGTTTTAGCTCGACTGTTTGAACTTCGCTACGAAGTGCGTGAGTTTCTTTCAAGTCAAGATATGTACGATCTATGCCAGCACCTTCATGATGAATACTGGATAGCCAAACTTGCATACATGGCGGATATATTCGAACATCTGAATGAACTTAATAAAAAAATGCAAGGACGGAATGAAAATATATTGACGTGCTCCGATAAATTACAAGGGTTCAAAAAGAAACTTGAACTTTGGCAGGAACAGTTGCAAAAAGGATGTCTAGAAATGTATCACAGGACCAACCACAGTACGATCGAAAACAAGCAGTTGATTGTGGATTTGGCCCAACAACATTTAAGTATGCTTCAACAAAAATTTGAATACTATTTCCATTCTATCAACACGGAACAATACAATTGGATTCGAAATCCTTTCGCAACCAATGCAATAAGTTCCACGGAAGCACTGCCATTGCAAACTCGAGAGGAGTTCACAGAATTAAGTAATGATATGACCCTAAAACTTAAATTCGACGAAGTTCCGTTAGATGTTTTCTGGATTTCCATCAAGACAGAATATCCACGCATCACCGACAAGGCCATCTTCACACTACTTCCGTTTTCCACAACATATTTATGTGAGCAAAGTTTTTCAACGCTTGTATTAATTAAAAATGATAAACGGTCATGCTTAAAAGATCTTGACCAAGAAATGAGAGTTGCGCTGTCTAAAATTGAGTCGAATATAAAACTTTTGTGTTCAACGAAGCAAGCGCAGGTATCACATTAATCAGTCATCATCATGTCAAAATATTTATTACTATTGACGTGTCAACAGAAGTAAATTTAGTATACCTACCTGTCCTACCTAGTATTTAGTATAGTTCTCATGTATGTACCTATTTGTATTTTTCATTCTATCTGAATAATAAAAAAAAATAAAAAAAAAATATGTATTATGTCCTGAGTGAAAATTTTGATGCCCCAAATCTGAAAGGGACTTCTTCACATTTTAAAACAATAAAAAAAACTAAGGTAGTTTGGACATCCATAAATAATTAGTATACATGGAGTGAACTGACCCCCGACCTAGCTACGCCACTGCTATAAATATATTTTAGATTTTGGTGTGCCACGAAATTCTAGGGAGCAGTTTGGTGTGCCTCAGATGAGGAAAGGTTGCGGAGCACTGATCTAAATGAACGCAAAAGACGACAATATATAGCCACAAAAGCAGGTTATTGGTTTCCCTAAACACTAAAATAATAAAGGGCTTTAAAACTTGATTCTTAGGATCATAAACCAGAAGGTCTTAGTTTATTAGTTGTTGTGGCTGGATTTACAATAATTGATTTTTATGACCGTAATTCTAATTATTAATTATTGCCCTACGAAATAAAATGAAATGCCCTGACAATGAAATGAAAAAACTACCCACATAACTTAACAATTACAATTTACTAAATTTTATCAAATAAGAATTGTTTCCCTTTTAAACACATAATTAATTACAAAATGATACCTGTAATAAAACCATGCTGCAATAACTGCTCTCCCCGGCTGTATACATGACTACTATACAAAGGACACTAGGTAGGAAGGTGCGTCGAAAACGCTGATCTCGAAATTCGTTCTAGAACGACGTTTCCGCGATTCAAACCGATAATCGTAGCGTCTAAAAGAAGATACAATTTTCGCTAAAATCTACGGACGGCGATCCAAATAACAAAAAAAATAATATCATCGACAAAAGTAGAACGACAATCGTAATACTTTTAGTCTTTTTCCACAAGTTTTATACGATTTGATCAGAGGTACTAAAAACTCGCTATTTCTTTATCCGGCGTCGTCACCATAGGCAACGGTTCACCAAGACAAGACACGCAAAGAATCCAATAACTCGGAAATACAATCCTACAAAACTCTTAGAAGAGAGAGAGAGAGAGAAATTAAGCTCTTTTAAAACGTCCGTCTGTTTGGTCACTTGATAGGTAACACATAACTACCTCTCGATATACAAATATATAACGAAAGAAGTCAAGAAAGAAGGTAACGGTGTATAGCGTAACAGAAGTCGTTTCATAGTGAAAATAATTTATCTGCTCCCTCGATATCTTTTACTGCGTTTTTCAAATATAACAAAAAAAAGATGTCACCTTATAGTTAAACGAGATAAACCAATCAATATACTTGCAGAGTATATAGGAGGGAGTCACCTTAAAGATAACTGAATCTTACACTTTTTTTGTTAACTGGACGTGAGAAAAGCAGGAAGAATTCTAACCCCGTTCTTACTTTGGAACCCCGTATTTATACTTTAATTTTCCCATTTAGTCAATGCATTAGACAAAGAAAGATTGAGTAACGGGCCTACTCAACTTTCACGTAACACTATACCCAGAAAAACAGCCCGAACAATATACGGCTTGCTGGCCGCCCCCTGTGTTCGAGTTTGCCTTTCAACAATTTACATCCGATGAAAAAATAGAAAGCGATTGATATTTCCTCGAAAAACGCAATAAACTATTTAAAGAAAAGACCCAGGAGTGTCGCGTTTCATTACTAATGGCCATTGGGAATTGTGTAACGACCTGTAAATGGCAATGTCGATACTACATTCTTTTTCTTCTTACACATGCGAATGCCATTTTCAATTTAATTCAATACAAGCAAAGCAGGATAGAAGATTTAATCTTGTCAGCACTGTATAAACATTTACCTGAACTAAAGCCTGTTCGTTATATCTTCTAAGAGAAGCGCCTGCGCTTTTAGGTTGTGGGCCACCAGATTTTGAATCTTTGGAACTCTGTGATCCTCCTTGACCAGCTCTTACAGTATAACAATGGAATGTTTTATGAAGAATAGGTTCAGTTCCTTTGAAGACGGCACCAGCAAAATGTCCGCCACCTAACATTAGTATCGTCCATTGTTGGTTGGATATAGAACACTGCTTAAGTCTGTCTAATACACTATCATCAGAAACTTCTTCCTAAAAAGCGGAGAGGTAATTCGAAGACTGAAAACTCAAAAGATAGAATAGAAATTATGTTGATGTGCGAATCACTTCGTCTCTCAAGAACCTTTTCAATGCATCATAGTTAGAAGAGGATTAGCTGAAGTGTTTAACAAGCAAATGTTAAGTGCTTTTGTAAGTTTTTCGGTTGTAATATAATATAAGGAATGTCTTTTTAGTTTTGCATGTAGGGAAATAGAGGGCGCCACGAATAAACCTCTGTATTTAGTTAACCTAAATATTTGGTGATATTTTTTATTTTGTTTAGTTAATATAGAAAAGTAGTTCTTACTACAAAAAAACGCATTCTCAGGCACAGCAACAACGTGTATTTACAAGAATCTGCGTAAAAAGTTTGGTTGCTATAAAAAATATGATTGCAAGCAACATCTGATTTGACTGAAACTGAAACATCTTGAAAAAATGTAATAAAAATGTCATATTCAAATCAATATCTGACGGAAAGTGCAAATTAAGCAGCATGGCAAAGAAAAGTGAATGAGCGAAGTCAAGGCCATACAGAACTGTATAGTACCAATGATTATTAAGACCCTTGTTCAATTTCTATTACATTATTTTAAATCGTATTAACGAACATAAATTAGGCAGGCATGAAAATTGATACAATTCTATCGTTCTGTAACGTTTCAGTTTTGAGATCTAATAAGGTTTACAAATGATGAGTGATCAGATAAACCTAGATAAATTCATTTTCTAAAGTTTGAAAATGTGGACAAAAAGCAGGCCAAAAAATAATATTGTACGTGAAAGACATGGGCTTCCTACACAATATTTTACTTTCGATTTCCTAAATAACATAAGAAGTACAAAATATTATCTGATTTTCCTTGAGTTAAAGATAATTATAATATTAGTATGTGCATTTTAAAAACTTACCTTTTTATCAAACATCAAACATTTGTACAAAGAAAACACTTTATTATCTTTATTTCTTAAGAACATTTTACCCTGAGCAATGGCAAATGTATCGAGAGTGTCTTCTTTTTCAGAATCTGATCCAGATATACTCGATAGATCATCTATAAAATCAAATTAAAATTCTAAATTATTTTCTAATGATAAAATAAATATGTTATGTATAGAGACTCTCTAGGGTTTTATTACTAGACCTAAGTTTCAAAAGCATAAAATTATGATTAAAGAACGATAAAATAATTTATTTCAATATTTCTGAATTTTTTACCACTTCAATATTATATCATCTTTAATAGGAATGCTTATAGGATGATGAGTAGAAGGGGCGTTGTTATTATACTAATCCACTAGCGTCAGTGCTACAAGGTAAATGGTGTCTAGCGCTGCGCTAATATCCTCATTCTATAATTTAATAAGGTTGAAACCAATTGTACTTTTCTTTCTCAGTGGCGTTAACTAATGGATAGATGGCGAATGCCAATGCTTACTTAAAGTAAGAGTGTCGTTTTACCAATAAAGGGAACCACAATCTCTACACATTTTTGAATACTCAATATTAAAAAAATGGGTGAAATAAGTTCATGGAATTGATAATGAAAACGTTTATAGTCTGTTCGCTATACTTACGCGGGTTTCGGATTAACAAAATTATGCAAATTAATCATTGACAACCAGTTCCAATAAGCTTCTTCCCAAGAAATCAGGTAAAATTGCCCTAATGGTCAGGTTTAAATTAAAATAACATTAGGGTAGGTACTAAATTTGTTACAAATATTGCAGTTGAATTGATTCTTTGCAAGTGTTGACATTGTTTGTATATTGCAAATTTAGTGGAAATTTTAAAAATTCCTAGACGTGTGTTAGATGTAGATAGTCTAATTTTTAGTGTACATAAGTATTTTACGGATGAAAAATAAAATGGCGGTCCTTTAAAATCGGTAATGTCTGTACAACAATGCGATGCTCTATGATACCAAATTAAGAGGAGTATTACAAAATCACAATAGTGAACTGCCGAAAGAAGTTCACCGCAAAACTAGCCCATCATTGAAAACGAAAGATATTCCAGATGGAAAGAAATTTGAAATTCGTGATACCATTTATCGAATGAGGGCCAACAAGGAACATGTGACCTTAAATACAATTCTCTCGGAATTAATAGATAAACAATTTGACGACATTGGTCGAACAAGTCTATGGCAAGTGATACATAACTTGGGTTTCAAATTTCAAAAGGAGGATAACAGAATGGCCCTTTGTGAAAGAAGTTCTGTCGTGCACAAGAAAATATTCTAAATTTAAAGAAGGGGCGAATTTTATATATTTACACGAAACATAGATATTTTCTAGGGGTGCAACCAAGAGAATATGGCAAGATGATAACGTAAAGTCCATTAAACATACAGATGGAGAAGGGAAGCGACACATAATTTTACATACAGGAGGAAAATCGGGTTTTATAGAAGGTGCTGATTTAATATTTTCATCTAAATCAAAATCCAGTAACTATCACGATAATATGAACACAGAAATGTTTGTAAAATGGTTACATGAAAAACTTCTCCCAGGTTTAAGTGAGCCCAGCGTAATTATTTTAGACAATGCACCTTACCATTCTGAAGTATTAAACAAAAGTCTAACGAATTCTTGGACTGTTGATAAAATTAAAGAATGGTTGACAAAGGAACATATACCATTTCCTCAATATATATTAAAATCAGAATTATTACGCTTGGCAAATATACACACAAAATCAAAAAACTTTGTTGTGGATCAGATTATTAAAAATTACGGTCATCAAGTTTTACGTCTGCCACCGTATCATTGCCAGTTTAATCCCATCGAATATATATGGGGAATAGCAGAACAATATTATGACAACCATATTGGGCCTAATGGTTATAGTGACGACGCAGTTCGGGAAACTTGGCGAAAAGCACTTTCAATTGCAACTCCAGAAGTGTGGCGAAACTGTATATCCAAGATTGGTGGACTCGTGAAAATAAAATAAACGAAATAAGTCCAATCATAATAACAATTAATGGTGATGACCTCGGTGATGACAGTGATGATGATGACGATTATGATATTTTGGATGATAACGACTGATTTTCATTTTTGTTGGCAAGTTTAATTTTTTTATTTTTCATTTGAAATTCTCTACATGGAACAAATTTTTATGTTAGAAAATAATTTATTTGGGCTAAATAACCCTCTTATTATACATAGACCATATTTTGTGTGTGAAGTGTAATATAAAATTATTATTAGGTTTATAATAGCCACATTAGACTCCATTAATAAAGAAGTTTAATTCTGCTCTCAATTATACAAAAGATTCTCCATTATTATTTAATTAAAAAGTTGTACATTATTTTTCATTTCATTTAACCAGTTGATATTTCCCCCAAAGAAAAGGTCAAACTTTCGGGTACTTACCTGGAAATATTCATAAAAATTTTAATCCGAAACCCGCGTAAATATAGCGAACAGACTGTATAAGAGATTAATTAGTATTAAACTATTAGTAACAAGTTGAAAACCTTCTAAAGTTACGTACGAAAATTTGTAAAAATGTTTTTAAAACAATGATCTAACCTACACATACCTAATAACTATGGCGGGAAATTAATAATGGATACCACACAAAAAAAAACTAGTCATAGGAATATGTGAAAATAAACTTGTTAATCTTGTTGTTTTAATATAACAAAATCATACTTGATTTGACCGATTCATTATCTTTTTACAGGGAGTTTTGTAAAAAATGGCGTATGTGATATCCGAAGTATATATTTTTGTTGATATAATATGTTACACTTGTTTTGAACCCATTACGATATGCAGGGTATATTGTAAAATAGCAATTCACTGAACTAACTTTTTGGTTAACTCCGTATACATATATTTTTATAATAATAATGCCGTTTACACACACTTCTATAAACATATATAAATATCACATTTAATATCATTATTTTAGATGTAAAACGATTTTTTAAACTACTTTTAATTTACAAAATCGTGATCCTATTTCCTTCTGTATATTGACAGGAAATTAAAAATTATTCACCATATACAGTTGTTTTCCAAAATGGTTAGTATTGTGTTTTGGTAGTTAAAAATATCCTAGAGAGCCAAACCATAACTTTTAATATTTATGAATGTTACCAAAATTTACGTTTATGTCTTAAAGTATTTTTGAAAATTATGAGAATTCACAAATATTAGTCATGGATACTTTTAATTTGCAAAGGTTTTTGAAATCCTGTTAGAGCGAGTTATATGTCGTCATGTAAGTTGTAATATAAGTATAAATCAACATGGTTTCATGAAAAGTCGTTCAACAGTCACCAACCTCCTGACCGTTACCCAATATATTGCTGAATCTATTGATAACAGAGCCCAAACTGATGTTATTTACACAGACTTTTCTAAGGCCTTCGACAGACTTGATCATGGCATTCTGCTTAACAAACTTGTAGCTTTTGGATTATCTCCTTCTTTAATTTCACTATTTCAATCCTATCTATGGGATCGAAAGCAATATGTCCAGCTTAATGGTTTTAGGTCTGCTGAATATAGTGCTTCTTCTGGTGTTCCACAAGGTTCGAATCTAGGACCCCTCCTTTTTATTATGTTCATTAATGATATTGCAGATGTTATAAATGTAAATTTGCTTTTGTATGCTGATGATCTAAAACTATACTGCCTCGTAGAGAAGATAGGTGATTGCGAGAACCTTTCAGCAAACCTAACACGGATTGTTGAATGGTGTTATCAAAATAACTTGTCACTAAACCCAGATAAATGTAAAGTTATGTCGTACAGTTTAAAAACGAATATCCTAATATTTAATTATTCAATAGAAAACGTTGCTCTTGAGCGACCGAAAACATTTACTGATCTTGGCGTCACGTTTGACACTGCACTATCATTTAATAAGCATATTGATAATGTTGTATCCTCCTCCTATCGAATGTACGGATTAATTGCACGTAGCAGTAGTGATTTCAAAGAAACCTCTACCTTAAAAACTCTATTTTATGCTTTTATAAGATCAAAGTTAGAATATGCTTCAGTTGTGTGGAGCCCCTTTTATCAGAATCATATAGATCGAATAGAAGCAATTCAAAGACGATTTTTAAAACTGCTAAGCCTGAAAACTGATGGCATTTATCCTCTAATAGGTACACCTCACACTGAATTACTACAAAAACATAACTTTTTCAGTCTCGATAGAAGGCGTGATTATTATAGTGTAGTAGTAACTTATAAAATTATTAAAAGTATTATTGACTGCCCAACCTTATTAGAAAAGTTTAATATTTGCATTCCCAGAATTTCTTCCAGACACCCGAATACTTTTTATTTAAATACATCTCGCACAAATGTTCTGGAAAATTCTCCGCTCCATACCATGTGTACAGTAACAAATTCTATTGTCAATGAACTTGATATATTTAGTTGCAATTTGTCAGATATAAAATCTCACTTTTTATCTTAGTTAATTTGTTACCTATTACGAAATACAAGTTCTTTTTATGTGCTTAACATTCATATAAAAAATGTGATCTTTTAATAATTATATTCTGTCAATTCCTGCTCTGTAATTGGGTTTATGACCTGTAGAGTATTGTATTATAAATAAATAAATAAATAAATAAATAAATAAATAAATAAATAAAATAAATAAATAAATAAATAAATAAATAAATAAATAAATAAATAAATAAATAAATAAATAAATAAATAAATAAATAAATAAATAAATAAATAAATAAATAAATAAATAAATAAATAAATAAATAAATAAATAAATAAATAAATAAATAAATAAATAAATAAATAAATAAATAAATAAATAAATAAATAAATAAATAAATAAATAAATAAATAAATAAATAAATAAATAAATAAATAAATAAATAAATAAATAAATAAATAAATAAATAAATAAATAAATAAATAAATAAATAAATAAATAAATAAATAAATAAATAAATAAATAAATAAATAAATAAATAAATAAATAAATAAATAAATAAATAAATAAATAAATAAATAAATAAATAAATAAATAAATAAATAAATAAATAAATAAATAAATAAATAAATAAATAAATAAATAAATAAATAAATAAATAAATAAATAAATAAATAAATAAATAAATAAATAAATAAATAAATAAATTTGGAGGTCAAAAGCTGCAATATAAATACAATTCGGCAAATTCGAATGAACGCCATTTGCTCCAAGGAAACTGTGGGGTGCTTTATATTTTTATAAAAGTGATTGCCTACTATTAATATTTGATCGAACTAAAATGATTCATTCGAAAATCTTACCATTTCCAGTTTTTTCACTAAATTCTTCTTCTGATATAGGAAGTCTAGATAAAAGAGATTGTTTTAAATTATAACGATGCCAATCTAATTTGTAGTGAATTCTTTGTAATTGACTATCTGGAAATTCAATTCGGCAGTAATAACAAGATTTTTTGTCATTAGATGTTGACCATTCGTCAGCAGACGGAGATGAATCTAAAAAAAAACAAAATAAAATACCTACGTTAAATTGCTATTTGTATATTAAGAGCAAAAAGTGATACTTTGCTGCTTGGGACAGAAAATTGACAAAGAACTTTTCGCTCAAATTGCACACAAGATTTTTTTACGATCACATTATTTTATGAAATAGATATACAAACTGAAAATTTGACGTAAGAAAAACGGAGTTGATATTCAAAGTCAATGTTAACCGGGATAATAAAATAAAAACAACAAACTAGGCAGAAATAACTTCAAAATCATTTATTAAAAGAAATATATTATATCTAATTTAAATTAGGCGAGCAACAAAGCTGTCAAGTTTTCCGCTCGGTGAGCGACAAAGCTGTCACTTAATGTCAGTTCGCGGAAAACGTCACCTTTGAAGTTGTATTTCTAAACGCAAAAGCCTACTTTGGATAGGGACCGTGCGTCAAGACTTTAACGCTAACTGGTGAAAAAAATTTGAACTTTATGGGGGGTATTTATTAATATTTTATATGGCATTTATTGTTTAATAATTATTAATTAAATAAAGTCGAATTATTTTCGTAATATCATTATCGAAAAAACTTGTTGCACCCGTGAATGTACGAACACATTACTTTGGAAACCTGGATTTCATTCAATAGTAAAGAAATTTTATAAATTTTCACAGAGCAGAATTGTGTCTCACGCCCAATGATATACATAATTACATTACATAGATTGCTTATCCATATGTAAATCAGATGACGGAAAGCGTATTTCACTGGGCAAAGTTTTTTTTTATCTAGCTTTGTATCAATTTTGAGCACTTGAGCATTTACAGAACCGGTTTAGAAATTAGAGTCTTTAGTGTTTTATTGTCATTAAGATTTTTACATATTTAAATGAACATTTTATATAAATATAATTTTACAGATAATTAATGGTTTATTCTGTTGATTAAAACTAACGTAGAATGTTACTATGAAATAAGTATGTCCAATTTGACAAAAATATCATAGCCCTCTTTACAATTTATTAACTATTTCTCATTTATTACTAAAATAAACAAATCATAAATAAAACATTGCAAGTACTGTCAAAAGATATTGCAACAAACTTTAAAATATTAAAAATCCAGTGATTTTTGTAAATTTTTTTAGTGACATTACCATTAAACATTATTCAGAATAATAGATGTGTCCAATTACAACTCTCACCAAAGTTGTTTATAACTCATATCAAAGTTGTTTACATTTCCTTTTCAAAATTGTATTACATATTGCAATTATATATTTTATGTAGTGTAATTTCTGAAATGAGAGTAGTCTAAAATTATTTATATCCATCTGTTTTAAAAATTGTTTAGATCTCTTAATATTATTTAACTACATGGAAACTCAACTTTCCAAATACATAATAACGTGTCTTGAAGTAAAACTTTAATTATTTTCCTTTTCTAAAGATTAAAATACTGAAATTTTATATTAAAACACATTTGGGCTAGAACGGCTCTATTTTAGTGAGCACTAGGAAAGGCACATTGCAACCCGCTTTTCGTAATTTTTTTATAGATGGGTGAGCAATCTATAATATGTTTATCATTGGGCGTCTCATAAACGTCAGTGGATGAATGACATTTCGACTAACATAAATCTAAAAAGAATTATTATTATTCCCAATCTTTTTTATTAATTTACATTTTTTAAATGTTATTGTAATACTTTTAAATTCAGTGTTACTAAATACCGATATTTTGACATTGGATACACTTGTTTAAGGTACAACTTTACAATTTATTGTCAATTAGCCATATAAATCTTTTTGCTTAAAATGTATATACATGTCCAGATTTTAATAATGTTTTACATTTTATATCATTTTGACCATGTACCCGATTGTTTGGTACGGGCCGGTATCTATATTTAACTATATTTAATATTTTAAAAAATATTCTTTATTATTTACTTGCAATGTTTACCCCATTTAATTCTAAAATTAAACACTAGAGAGGGCTAACTTCGGCAGTAGTGCTGCCTCTATATTTCACGCACGGTCCCTATAGTGATTGTAGAAAAAACACATACACTACTTACGACAAATTTTCAGTTTTTATATATATTTCTTAAAATAATGTGATCGTAGAAAAAATCTTGTGTGTATTTTGAGCGAAAAGTTCGTTGCCGTTATCGTAGGACCATAGGTTTATCATAGGTGATCAATGCAAAAAATCAAAAAGTTTGTATATGAGTGAAATTTCCACCAAAAGTTTTTTTGGTCGTTGCAATATGGTCCGTTACTAAGGTAACATCAATATCTCTAGACATTTTTGTCAGTTTTTGGATTAAGGCCCTTAGGTCTTGTACATACTACTAAACATAAAATGTAGGTACCAAATTTATAAAATGCTATAACTTGACATTGGATTGACTGTTTTTGATGACTTTTGCGGATTTGGAATCCTTATTTCACGTAGATTTTCTATGATCTAAGCATTTTATTTGGGGGTTAAAATTTACACATTATACCGAGTCGATAATAGACAAAAACTTAGCAACAAGAACAAGTTTATTTTTTTTCTCTCTCCTGGGCTCGTCTGACTATGTGTCTCCGAATAACACTGAAGCCTATTGGCTTATTGTGTTTTACCCCATGTTAGTTCATAGCACCCACTCTATCACCTTTGTACCTTGTACAAGTTTGTACAGATCCTTGGGTGAGTGGGTTCTATACGTTGTTGGATCAACCTGGGGTTGTCCAAAAAGAGCCTGTCTTTTGCGATCTAGAGCTTCGCATTCGCACAGTATGTGTTTGGCCGTTTCTGGTTTCTTGTGACATAGTCGGCACATGAGTTCCCATTGTAAATGCCAATTTTGTTCAAGTGTCCCTTTACTGGGGCGTGCCCAGTCATGAACCCTGTTATCACTTTCAACTGGTTCCTATTCATTAAGAGTAGTTCTCCAGTTCTTTTGGGACATGGTCTGCCTATGAAGGCTTTTCCATGTGCCTGTTTTGGGGTGCTTCCCCAATAGTTGATATGTTGTTCCCGAATCCAGTCATTTATAAAACCCCGGACTGTACTTTTTGGTACTCCTGGGTTTGTGTCAGCCTTTTCGTTGCCTTCGATCCCTTTGTGACCTGGCACCCAAAATAGTTTTACTCTATTTCGGTCTGCCAGTGTTCTTAGTTCTTCGATGCATTCCCATACCAGCCTCGACGTAACTTTCTGACTCGATATGGCCTTAAGTGCCGCTTGGCTGTCTGACATTATTTGAATATGCTGATTTTCGACTGCTCTTTCATTGTTTGTTTTTGCACATTGCAAAATTGCGTATACCTCGGCCTGAAATACCAAGGAATGTATTCCTTTAGCATAGCTATGGTTAGTATCAGGGTTTTTGGAGAATACTCCAAAGTTTATTACATTATATTCTACAATATACAAGATTGGCTAACAACGGCCAAAAGTCAATTCCTACAAAAATTTTAATTCAAACCCTAATTTAAAGGTTCCTGCAATCTCTAAAAAAAATACGATGTACTGTAATAACAAAGATTAGGTATGTACGGATAGGGATACCTAGTGGTAATTGGTATTGGTAATTTTTTTATATAAATTAAAAAAATAGCCTGAAAAACATAAATTGTCTGTCCATTATTTTTTGTTTTGAACCCACTGCGTGAAAGATGGGAATTGCAACCTTGCATTTTCGGAGTTTACAATGAAATTGGGTTATTGTTGGAACAGCGCGTTAAAAGGACGAGGTCATTGAAATCAACCGGCAAATGTCCTATCTTTAAATACCTAATCTTTGGTAATAATTTACCCGAAATTAAGTAGGTACATTAATTAAAAAAAAAGAGAAACTAATATTTTGTTGGTCCTCCTGTTCGACGTATTACTTCCCGACATCGATTTGGTAGAGTATCCACAAGATTATTTATAAAATCTTGTGGAATATTCTTCCATTCTTAACGAATGGCCTCACTAAGCGTTTCTAAGGTTTCAGGGGGTACATCACACGATCTTATTTTAAGTTTTAAATAAGATCAAACGTGTTCGATGACCTGTAGGTCCGGAGACTTTGCAGGTCAGTCCATCCTATTGATGTTCTATGCCTGCAAAAACTCTGAGCCTTCGCGCTCTGAGGTCGAGCGTTGTCATCCACCAATAGACATTCTGGGCCGTAATTTCGAGCAAAAGGAACAACAATAGATTCCAAAATTTCCTCCTGATAAACAGTAGCGTTAACGGTTTGGTTGGTAATGAATAGCTCGATTTAAACATTTCTTATGATAACTCCTCACACTGTAACACCTCCGCCATCAAATGCCCCTTGAGAGGCCATATTTTCCTCCAAATACCGCTGTTTTGACTATCTCCAAACTAACATTAATAATCAATAATCTTGTTTCGTCAGTAAATAAACAATGGTTCCACGCGTCGCGTAGAAATTAAAGCCGATCATAAATATTGGCATGGGGGTGGACAAAGAACTCTGTAAAACTGAATGACTTTTTGAGAAAACAAACTGGGGTGAGAGTTTTAGACATAACGGTGTGAAAAGGACATTAAATAAAAATTCAATATAATTCGCAATATCACAACTATAATACAAGAAGCCAATCTGACTTTCATGTACGGCAAGCCGTCAGTAAAAGTTCTCAAAATACAATCTTTATTAAAATAAAAAAAAAAACAACAATAAATGTATTCAAAAGTAACCTCAAACAATACTTGATAAATAAACAGAACGAATATACTTTCTTGTGATAATACTCTTTAAACCTGTCCTTTTTAAGTATTTTGCTTCATTTATTGTTATTTTATATCTTGTTTTACCCGCATTTATTATAAATTATTTCTGTTTTGAGATCATGTACTTTATTTTAAAAAATTACTTAATGTTATATTAATACTACACTTACTATGTTTAAATTATTAATAGTTTTGCGACGATAAGTTATAGCAACTTATAGCCACAAAACTATTTTTGTGTTAAAGCAGATCCATAGAGAATGTAATT